CAGAGGGAGGGAGGAAGAGGAAGGAAGGAAGAAGAAGGAAGGAAGGAAGGAAGGAAGGAAGGAAGGAAGGAAGGGAAGGAAGGAAAGAAGGAAGGAAGGAAGGAGTACAGGCTTTATGTTCTGGATGCTTGTAGCAGCCAAAATTCATGTGCAGAGGCGTTACTGTCCAATGGAATGTTATTGGATGTGGGGCCTTAGAGAGGTAATTAGGTTATTAGGGTAGACTATTCAGGAATAGAATTAGTGCTCTTACAAAAACAGACATGAGAGTGCTTATTTCCTCTCAGTCTTTCTACCATGTCAGGACACAGCAAGAAGACGGGTGGGCTAAACCAGGAACCAAGTCAGCTGGGCACCTTGATCTTGGACTTGTCAGCTGACAGATCTGAGATAAATGAAATTTCTGTGTTTTAAGCTTCTCAGTCTATGGTATTTCTGATGGGACAAGTTGACTAAGACAGAAAAAGGACGATCTCATTATACATGTCACCAACAGCTGATAAATCTTATTAAGCAAAAGAAGTTTAGAATCGTTACTATTAATATAAAACTTGTAATATTTTAAGCCATCCAAGAGCATTTATTTATTTTAAAAACATTTACTATTTTTCAATACTCTCAAAGAAAAATAAATAAATATCAACTCCTGGTCAAGCAATCCTTGCCTCGGCCTCCCAAGTAGCTGGCGATTTAAACAGGGCTGCGCCCCATGGTGCCGGGTAATTTGTTTCTTATTATTAGGGTGGCCAATTAATTTTTTCTACTATTTCTAGTAAGAACAGGTCTCGGCTTCCTTGGCTTTTCAGGGGGCTGGTTTGAACCTCTGACCTCACGGGCAATTCGCCCACCTCGCCCCCAGAAGAGTAGGTTACAGGCGTGGCCACCCATTTGCAGTGCATATTCAAACATTTAATCAAAGTGTTCTCCTTCATCAATTTCCTGTTTTCACATTAAACCCATACCATAGGAAAGTTCCACTAGAATGTAATTTTATAGTTAGGTTTATCACACAGTGGGGAAAAAAGACAGCATGTCCTAGAATGTGTTTATCAAAAGCAATTATTGGCCAGGCGTGGTGGCTCACGCCTGTAATCCTAGCACTTTGGGAGGCCAAGGCAGGGTGGATCACTCAAGGTTAGGAGGTTCAAAACCAGCCTGAGCAAGAGTGAGACCCCATCTTTACTAAAAATAGAAAGAAATTAATTTGGACAATTAAAATATATGTATATAAAAATTACCAGGCATGGTGGCATGCCTGTAGTCCTAGTCTACTTGGAGTGAGGCAGGAGAACTGCTTGAGCCCAGAGTCTGAGGTTGCTGTGAGCTAGCTGATAGCAAGCCACTCTAGCCTGGGCAACTGAGTAAGACTCTGTCTCAAAAAAAAAAAAATTAAAAAAAAAAAAAGCAATTATCACTTGGCAGCCGAGGCAGGAGGATCATTTAAGCTCAGGAATTCGAAACCAGCTGAGCAAGAGCCAGACCCCCATCTCTACTATAAATAGAAAGAATTGTAATTGGCCAAACTAAAATATATATAGAAAAAATTTGCGGGCATGTGTGGCGCGTGCCTGTAGTCCCAGCTACTTGGGAGACTGAGGCACGAGATCGATCACTTAAGCCCAGGAGTTTGAGGTTGCTGTGAGCTAGGCTGCCGCCACAGCACTCTAAACCCAGGCAACAGAGTGAGACTCTGTTTTCAAAAAGAAAAAACTATTATCAGAGGCAAAAAGCACAAAAAACTTCAGAGAATATAAAATTAGGAAGAGCCAAGTTTTCTATATCAATATAGAAAGAGCAGGTGGAAGAAGAGAAATATTACAACATATGGGTCAGATTTTAAGGGATCGTAAGAGGGACTCTGTGCTGCCCACAGGTCCTAAGCTAAGAGCTGAAAGAATGATATACGCTCCCCATGTAGACTAAAGATCAAAGAGAGGAACCTGTCAACTGATTTCACAGTTCTGTGGGAATAACAATCTCAGAAGATCCTTACTCCTGTGTTCCACATACCCATGAACTATGGGGAAAACAGAAGAAAAAAATGGCTGGTGAACTCAACACGCAGAGAGCTTTAAGACAGCTCCATGCAGTTTCTTGGCCCCAGACACAAAGGAGGAGCAGCCAATGAGTCCCATCTTCTGACTGGGTCTTCCAAGCATGTGAAATGGGATGGAACATGAGAGGTCCAAACATCAAACTATAGAGGTTCCACTGATCTACATGGAAAGTCAACTGAGCATCAGACGGAATCAAGTACAGAAGAGACCCAAGGGAGGAGCCCTTTGTCAAATGGGCCTCCCCCAAGACCCTCTCAGAGTAAAGGAACCAGAGAGTTTGTAGAAGCACATGACAAGACTGTTGTCTATAAGAAGGAATTTCTATTTGTCTCTGAGCTGCAGCATCACTGGAGGTGAATGGATAACTTTTTACATGTCTGTAGAGTAAGTGAGAAATGTTTAAAATTTCCTTTTTTGAGAGTTCACAGGAGATACACATCTGTTTTCTCACATTATCCCTCCCACTTGGTGAGAGATTCCAAAACACTAATGGTGCGGCTTCCACTATGTCCATCTGAGCTCTTACCTGTGATCACACCTTTCATTCGTTCCCACTGCTTTGGTTTCCTTGCTATTTTCACTTGGCTCTCCACAGACCAGGGCTTTTCCTCTGTTGCCAACATGGAGATAAGATTCAGGCCAGGAAAAGAATATCCTGCTCATAAAATGAAAGGAACATGATGTACTCTGGCTTTCCAGAATCCCAAACCTATATTTATGTGAAAATAGAAGACATTACAAAGAAATCTAGGAAAATATTTTACAATTTATCACTACTTGCCTCTTCCTGGGAAGCTAAGGAACATAAAATGCAGATACCTTGTTGGGTTCCAAGAACTACTGAATAAAAGCACAGGAGGCCGGGCGCTGTGGGCTCACGCCTGTATCCTTAGCTCTTGGGAGGCCGAGGCGGGCGGATTGGCTCAAGGTCAGGAGTGCAAAAACCAGCCTGACAAGAGCGAGACCCCCGTCTCTTACTTAAATAGAAAAAATTAATTGGCCAACATCTATATATAT